AAGTGTTCACGTATCTAAGAAAATTAAAACCAAATTTTTAGCGTCAACCCGTTTTTTCTTGATTTCAAATTAAATTATCATTTCTTTTTTCCCACTTGATGTCATGATTTCCTAGCTCTAGAATGTTGCAGTTTTATTCTTAAATATTAAAACTGCACCTTATGGTTTGCAACAACGAGTATATTTCAGACTTTAAAATGTTTTAAAAAAATATCTATATCTGGGCAGGGTTAAGACCAATTTCAAATTTTATGACAGACAGACAAAGAATATTAAGTTTATTTTGATACAAAACATCTCTCGTTTCCAAGCAACAATAAAGAAATAAACAAAAAAAATATTTCTTCAGAGCGGTTTTGTTTTTCTTTAATTCAAGTGAATATAATTAATAAAAGAAGTGTGTAAATATCAGTGCCATTCATGAATTGCTTGTATTTATTTGAGTTCTCATGAATTTCATGTATTTATCAGAGGAAGCTGAAAATTCGGAAATAATGTAAATTTGCACAATTTTAATTAAGTAAAAGTAATCGAAGCAAGCGATTAAGAGAAAAAGTGAATTTTTTAACATCTTACAGACTAATTCTTAACTATCAGAGCGATATTCTAATTTTGAAATCATGCCTTTAAATCTAATTAATTTGAACTCAATCATATTTGGAATTTTTTTTCTCCTTTGAACTTTCTTATCGAAATAAATAATCTTATAAGAAAAAAAGAGAAGTTAATTTAAAACAAGTAATGAGAGAAGTAAATCCAATTAAAATTAGACTACAAACCATACCAGGTGACTGTAATTTACGTCTGATCGTTTCATGCGTGACTGAATCTTCGCGTTTCTTCCCTTTCCTACTGTCGAGAAAATATTAGAATTAAAATATAGCAAGAGTAGGGATAGAAAGGATCGCGAGTTCAATGAATTCTTTATTCCTGACCTACAGCAGTCGGTAACCGTTGCAGTGCAGTAACCCAGGATACGATTCAATGAATCGGTATTGGGAGAAAAAAATGTTTACTAACAAAAATCCCTTTCACCCCCTCAAACTATCTTCTACTTCCGTTTTTAAACGACGGATGAATAACCATAGTAGCCCAACAACATTTGTTTTTTCAGTTTCTTCTTTCCTTTTTCAACTCTAAAATTGACAGCACCTGTCCAATATTCTAATATTGCCTTCACTCAACAAGCGAGAGAATTATTTAAATTAAAATATTCTACTCACAAAGTAAGCATATACTGCGACAAAAGAGTTTATTGAAGTTCTACTAAGCATTGATAATATACAAGGCCTTTCGACGTGAGGCTTTTCAGTTGTGCTTTTACTCTTTTTGTTTCATTTCTTTTTCATTCTTTTTTTCTTTTTCATTCCGATTGTTTGATCAATAAAACATTTTTTTCTATTCATTTTATTTTACGGCTCAAAAAATTAAGAAGCGAAGAAAGTTCGTGAAAAAACTAAAAACCTTCGTCATTAGTTACCAAAAGCTTCTCTGAATCGCTTCGAATTGTCCTGGTGATAATAAAGTTATATTTGGACGCTACTTTTAAATTCCTTTCAGCAGACAAAGAATTATTGAATTATGGCTACACGACTAGCAACAGCAAGAAACTTCATCACAGTCACGTCGGTTATAAAAGATGAATCTGAAACAAATTCGCCGCTTTCTATGACCAATACAACAAATACCATATCAGAAGATCAACGAACAACACAAATCACGCCTGTCGCCTTACATCATGTTAATCTGAGTCAGGTAAATTAAATCCACGAACCTTCACTCTTAAAACTATTACATAATGAAACATTTACAACAAATCAAATAGAAAAAAATTATCCTTCAAACTGCACCATCGGGAAGTGTCAGTGTGATTGATGTTGTGCCCTTAGAATCTTCAGATTCATCTGATTCAAAAATATTAGTAGCTGAACCACTTACCACATCACCAGATGGTCAAAATCAGAATGGTCAACAAGTAACAGCGCAAGTTGCTGTTGTGCAGGCACAAGGATCACCAAGCGGTCAACATTACATCACAGTTTCGGGTAAACTTTGTGAGTAAAGAAAATATTTTATTATCTTCCTAACAATTTCTCTTCTAATCTCTCCATTGCTTATCATGAAAATCCGTCTTAAAATAAATAAATCATTAAAATTATTTATAAAGCGGACGGAGTTCAGAAATTGCAATATGCGCCTCTTACAACAGTCGGTGAGTTTTCCTTTTTCCATTAATACGAGAAAAATGTTTATTCTTACTTCGTGTGTGTATGTGAGTACCTACAACACAAAGAGAAACGTTTGAAGGTTTTCCATCGTTTGATCTCGATACGGTTTTGTTGTTGTTTTTATTGTGTGCTTTTCAGCAAAAATTTTGTCATTTTCTATAGAATCCTTCTTAGAAGAAGAAGCCCTTGTATAAAAAATAAGGGATAATTTGCATGTTAGGTAACATTAATAATTGAATATTTTCAATTTATCTTTTTGAATTGAAATGAGATGACAACCTTCCCAACATTTTACCTTGGAAAAAAATTATATCAAGCATGACGGAACGTTAAAATGTCACAATCTGTTTATCTTCATTTCTTTATTTATTTTTATTTGGGAAAACATACCAACTGTTAATCTTTCATTTCTTCTGTCGTTTTATCGTAATGATCTATTTCTATAACATTTAAAACTTCATATCAAACGATCACCTAACAATTGACCGGAATATAAAAATGTGTTTGAGATAAAGTTCGCAGATAATCATTCATCGTCCCCCTACTTTCAACAACAATAAACAAATTTACCTTTTTTATGTTAAAACCCTTCAAGTTTGTACATCAAAAATCATTTCGCAATTACATCGGATTAGAATCGGCTTCCGTGCTTAAAGTCTTCGAATGAAATTAATTGATGTTTCACTCATATCGGCTTCATTTATTAAATTGTTAGTTTTGATAACGTAGAACTTCGCTTCTTCCAACCTGATGAATCACATAATCCCATCAACTCGAGAGGGTGAAGAATCTTTGTAATCACAATGTATCAATTTCATAATAAACATCGCCTATGCACACCCTACGACACACTGTCGACAGATGAAATCTAATTAGACAAGATTTTACCTTTCAATATTTATTTATATTTTCTTGTTCCCTTCCGCTAACAATCAGTCAGAGATCGATTATCAGTCAGTCGTGAAAATATCTCTTCTGTTACTTTTATAATTTCCCAAAGAGTGCATTTAATTAAAAGCGATTTATAAGGATTTTGATGTTCTAAATGCTCGAGGGATTTTTTTTATCTGTTTGAAAGCTCAAACAGGTGAAAAAGAATTTTGTGACGCTTGATGCATGATTTGTAAATAATTCTTTGAAAATATTGTAAAATATGACGATGAGGACGACCCTCGTGATTACTCGAATCACGTTTTCACGGCTCACCAACAATCACATTCTAGTTTATTCAATAACAACCCTTCGATTCCTTGCAAACTTAATAACATCTCAGACCTTTAATAATGGATTTCTATTTATGTCGGGAATTGCTTTCACTTCCCGTTTGTACACGTGCAAACAGGTACGCTACATTCATGTATAAAAACAAAATAATATCAAATTACAATTTGTTGATGAAAATAAATTCTGACGTGGACCTTGCCCTAAGCATGAATTTAATTAATTCACTAAGATGTGCCTTGTTTTTGGCTAAAATTGACAATCTTTCATTTGTTTATAACTTTATTTGTTGAACTAACTTAGTGTAGAGAATATGATAAAAGAAAGGAATATTAAAAGGATTTAGAGAAATAGACAAAAAAGTCAATCAGTACTGTGAATACGAAGTTCTCCAAAGACTTCATTTCAAAGATTTACAAAGATTAAGTTCCCAAATAAAAATAGCGCTAATTGTGTCTTTTGGAAAAACACCTGATGGCTTATGTAGAAGCACATATTCACGTCGGAATGCTGAAGTGTTACTGAAGTCGTGTGCGAAGTATACGTTTTGCTTCGGAACACATCAGCATCAAAACTCAAATGAAAAACATAAATGACTGACCGGTGTCAATCACTCAAAGTACTGATAAACTCTTCGGATTTATTTTCGCTAAATTCCTTTGTAACTATTGTCTTATCATATTTTCTACACTAACACAATTTCAATAATACTGATGACGTTCTTTGTGGACTTAAGGAGTCTAT